ATTCCTACTTGTTTCTTTAAAATTTAATGGCTGAGATGTTGGGCATTCATTTTGGTTTATGTTTCATAAATGCTGATTTTTCTCTGAATGTTTTGAATAGACCAAACGATATCTCTTGTTTTTGTTTAGTTAAAATCCTCAGCCAAATTCATTGCCTTAGCACCAATATCACTGATGTCACTTAACACAATTTTGTGATCTATTCCGGTAGTCTGCACAAGGAATACAGAATTGATTTTGTATTAAAATGAATATTGTTTTATCGTTTTGGTCCCTCAAACTGAGAATTAGATTGAAGAACAGAACAAATAACCTTCATTTTTTAAATCTGAAAATCCTTTAGATCCTAAACCATTCTGAAGTAGCCTAAAATATTTTAATCTTTCCTTAACATAATAGGAGTGAATGTGAAGCCATTTGAATAAATGCAGAACACTAATTTAAACGAGCAAAATGTAACAACATGATCAGTGCTTTCTACCCAATTTATTTCTGGAGTTCAATAAGCCAGGAGTTAAAGGTTACATCAAAAGGCTTTAGTAAGCTTGTGTGAAAAGTTTTAATGTACGGCCACTTCAGTTAACAAAAGCAAGCCCTTATAGAATTACTGTAGGCCTTACCTCACTAACAGCTCCCTAGGGTAGCAGCAGTTGGAGGAAACAAAAGAAGAAAGAGTCAACAAACATAATAAAGCAGTTACAAAAAAGGCACCACAATAAACTTCCATTGAAATAAAACAATTACAGTTTCACTCATCCATGGATGCACATCAAGCCTAGCTCTTTCTTGCCTAGAATTTTGTGAAGTCATTCACACCTATGCAGGCTGAAGGCAAAAGTAAGTGCTATTCTTGTTTGAAAGTGCTTTAATACTTACTATGCTTAGGTAAGTATTAACTCAAGTAACAACTCCTAAGCCCAGAAAGAACTGGACCTAAAAGTTTTCAAACCTGGAGCCTAAAAATCTTTTAGTTGCTGAATAAAACACAGGTGTAAATTTATTACACCTGGGAGGATCTGTTGGCAGTTATACCATCCCTGAGGCAACCCATATCAATCTAATTGACCACTTGTCTTTTCACAGGTTGTAAAAGCAGGTTTGCTGTGTAAGAGCTGCGCAGCATTGGAGAGAAAGACCACTGAAAAGCTGCCCTTTCTTCAGGTCCAGAGGGAATCTACCGTGTACATTTAAAAAACAGAATGGCACTTTAACTTATAAGAGCCCATATGTTCACTGCCTTTGCTAAAGATTAATCATTGTGAAAACAAAGTAATAAATGTTTAAATATTGTACCTTTGGTGATAGCTTATGTTAAATAACCTGAAGTGTATTTAGTTAAAGTCACAATTCTTAATTAAAAGGTGTTTCTGACCTTCACAAAACTGACAGCTGTATTGCTAACCGACAAAAGCAGTATAGAATCTCACCCATAAAGAAAATTAAAAGCCTGTTTTCTATCCTGTTTTAATTAATTCAAAGTTTGGAAAGTTTCACAAATATTTTTATAATGTAATTCGTAAAGCTACTTTTTCCTCTTCTGTTTGCAAGAAAGGGCTGTTTGCCACTTGCACTTTCTGCACTCCAGAACTGATAGAACGTAAGCAAACCGACTTTGTCATCCATATTATCCCAAGCTCTCAAATGGGCATTAACTAGAAATCCAAAATCTAAACTATTTCATTGTCCTGAATTTAAATATATCTTAACTTTGCTGCTAGCACTGTGAACATAAGGAATCTGGTATATATACACAACACAGGAGAAGACAGGAAAAAAGCCACAAGTGGAGTTGCAACAGAAACAGCCATAGGGTAAAGAAGAAAAGGCAGACACCTAAAAGATAATTCTCTGCTCCTACTCAAGTTCTCATTCCATAATCTTGGAAGTTTATGACCAGTGAATCAGGTGAGCAAATCTGTACAGCAGACAGGAATTTCATTGGTCCTGCAAAGCAAATAAGTAGGAGCAGAAACCTGATCCAGAAACACTGGATTTCCTTTTTCATAGTATGTCCAAAAATATATTCAGTGCTATCCAGTAATTTACCAAGTCATAAGATGCATACCTGCTAAAATGAGCTAGGAAACGGGATGACATATGGGCAAATGGGTGTGCTGCACAGAAGGCAGGAGAAGGGCACACTAGGACATTCCCTCCATCTCATTTACCTACATTTTACTTTTCCCAGCCCTTGAACATGACCCATTTTTAGTTACAGCCCATTTCTCTACTGTGATTTCCCTCCATACCTTACCTATCCATCACAGTAATTATTTAATGACCTTCAGCAAATCACTTCACCTTGGGATTTAGGTTTTCTGTAATTATATTTAACTCTTCTGAAAAGCATTTTGAAATACATTGTGCAAATGTTATATTAGAGCTAGGTATTATTACTTCTGCCACCTTCAATTTTTAACCAGCTAAAACCTTGTTCTTGTTAAAGTTCTCCTATCTATCAGAGACCCTTTCCAGACTCAAGCATGCTCTCTACCCAACAGGCCCAATTCTAATATATGTCAAAAGTTACTGTTGTTGGAGTCAGAGGGATATAAAACCGATGGAAGAGATGAAAGTCAGACATGATAACACCTAATCTCTCCTCTGATATCATTTGTCCACTAGATTCTTGCCCTGCAACAATGAGTAATCCATAAAAGTAGTTTCTCTAAGGCCCTGGCTACATAAACTGGGGGAAGAAGGGTGCAGAGTCAGCGCAGAACAGGTTGTGAAGGCAGCATAATAAGGCAGTGTGGGAATTTTCTAACTCCGTGTTCAAAAACCTTAGATGGACACAAGGAGGCTGAATATATTCTTTTGCAGACACAAGAATCTCCTAATACAGTGACGAAGGAGGGGAAGCCCAAAATCAAGTTTCACAAAGACACCACCAAGAAAAAGAAATCATTTATAAATACTGAATCTCCCCAATAGTAATATTATTTTAAAATTTATACACCCATAAAAAAAATAAAGGGGAATGATTAGATATAGGAAATGGTGATATTTTCTGTGCATAACATTATTTTAAGATGTATAAACAAGCTGGAAAAACAGAGAAGGTTATTCCCTCATCTCTTTCGATTTTAGAGACAGTAGAGCAATAATCTGCAAGAAAATAAGGTAAACATCACACTTATCTGAATTTTTTTTAGTAACCAATGTTTTTAAATTTACCCTTTTTGTTAGCACTTTAGACTCTCCTGCCAAAACATCTGTCACCTTAGTCCCCCAATTCCTTTCTTTTCATTACAGGTAGTCCTTGACTTGTAAGTGCAAAACGTTGTAACTCGAAACGTTGCGATGTTTATAAACTGACACCCTGTTTCAACTTTCTAACGTCAGTTTCAACTTTACAACGCTTAATCTGATGTGATACCACACCAGTGAACAAGTTCGCTGCATCACTCATCTCCCTGGAGAACATCTGTCCAAACTTCTTTGGACACTTTCTTTAAGAAAGCAGACAAGACTCCACAAAAACCTGCAGCCAGGACTCCTGAGAAGACTCCAGCCAAGAACCCTTCAAAAAGTCCAACCAAGAGCCCTTCAAAAAGTCCAGCAGTCACCTCAAAGAAGTCCTTCCAAATCAATATGATTGCTATTTACAATATAAATACATTAATGTAACTATGTCTCTCATCTATAATTGATCGAGTACAAAATTCTGGGGTATTTTTGGTGAAAATAGGGTATCAGGCCTTGGTTCAGGAACCAATCCCCCATTTATAACATTGTTTCTTATGAGAAAATTGGTTCCAAGTTACAACATTTCAACTTAAGACCCGGTTTCCAGGAACCAATTGTGTTGCAAGTCCAAGGACTGCCTGTACTAACAATTGCTAGGATTGAAGAGGGACTTTTAAACTAAAAGATCAGCATGGACTTCCTGAACTACTGATGTTAGCACTCAGGAAAGACTGAACCTCCTTTTCCAGCCCTTATAATTTACTTTTCATTAACAAGTTCAGTATTTGAACCTTGCTGCATATTGTTCTGCGCTGACATTCTGTTTAAACTAGCAGAACCTCCCTATGTATTGAATACGGCTTTCAGCCAGACTGAGTAGCCAAACACAAGGAGCTCAAACACCTTCCTACCGTTTACAAGAATGTTCTAAGTGCCCCAAGTTGACCCCCACTTTTGACCCTTACTTCCCTTTACCACTCTCAAGTGGGGTGAAGGAACGGTTGGCTGGGATACACACTCTGTAAAGCCTTTCAAAAAAGTTTTTGCAACAACTGTAGGAAGTTGCCAAAGACGAATGCTCACCTAGTTCCAAATGAACCAAACCATCAAACTAGTAGCCACGTGGCACACTAGTTCTATCACTACAGTGGAGGACACTACTGCTCCTATTAGCCACTTGCAAGAGTAGCGCATATAACACACCACTGCAAATCTATATCTCATTTTACAAACCAGGTTCAGCA